CATGGGATAACTACATGGGCTGCAACAAACGACTAATTTGATAATCGATTAATCTATCGATTAATAAAGCGATTAATCAACTATTCGGAATATTACTGTATGCCTTGCACAATTNTCTTATGACCTTTTTGACCATATTAAATGCCATTTGCTGCCTTTTTTCCCAAAGAAATTTTTGTCTGGGAGCGCAAAACATTATTTCATGATTCTTGTAGTCTTTTAATAAGAGTTTGTTATGTTAGTTGTTATATCAGATGTTTTTCTCAAAAACTACAGTTTTTTTTTTTGCATTACAAAACAGCTATTTATTTACTTTAACTACCATTTAACACACAGAACAAAAGAACATCCTATAAGAGGAGAAGTTACAAATACATCACACAGGCCTACTTTATATTTAATTTTATAACCAAGCACTCTTTTTCTTTGTTTTTTCGATTTTTGGGGATGTTCCTCTGCACATTTTTGAAGGAATACAAAATATTATCTAAAATGGCCCAACTTTGAATAAACTAAAATCATATAGCTGCACCCTATAATTAAAAGTTAAAGCTACGGGTATGTATATGAATGCGAGAAACCAGCTCGAGTGCGCTAGAATTTGAAAATACACAACACCTTGGAGAAAGTGATAGGCCCTCTCTTCTAGTGTTACTGTTCTTACAGAGTCCCGTCCGTCTCAACACAGTTTGTTCACGATTACTGGCGCACATGACTCAATTGGTGATGGGCTGAGCGTAGATTAAAAGTGGTGGTCCACAGATGGAAGTGCTGATCTATGGGAAGGGTAGTGCATCCATTTATTTTAGCCGGTTGCCGGCTTAGGGATGATTTAGGTCGTCTTTCTTTTGCTTTTTACATGCGGCTACGGCTGGCCAAGTGAGATTTACATATTTTGTATGTATTGTATGTCGTCAATTAGCATTTAATAATATTCATTGCATCCGGGACGTTAAGAGCATTTTCCTGGAATATAACGAAAAAGTGTTTTCTTGAAAATAGGATATTTACATACGCGCCATTGAATTAGGACTGATATGATTGTTGTCACCTGTCTTCCTCTCTCCTCTGTTGTTTAATCCTGAGTACGTAAAGGCTGCCAGCAGCCGTTGACCAACTTATCTCTATCATATCGTAACATACCGGTAAACCAGCAATCGTTTTGCCCTGTGAAAGCATATTAACTGCCTGGTCCACACAGAATTATAATCCTGTGTTCCTCCGGTACATTTTCTTTGATTTATCCATAGTCCGCTCATCGAGCTGGGGGTAAAAAAAACAACACCGCAGGAAAAGGCCGCCTCGCGCGGTTGATCACTTTTGTAGCAGGAAGTTTACCCGCATATTTTAGTGACCTACATAAATACTCGTTGTTTGTTTTTATTTATGGTGTCACAGTTAACCTCCAAAATACAAAGCGATAACCATTTTCAACCGTGCAAAATATATAAATCTTACAAAGATCTTTATTTTATTTTCCTTCTTTATTTGGTTGGTCTGAAGCTCAAGGGAGCCAGAGCAGTAGTTGGCCTTTAAAGGCGCCTTGCGATGTGGGATCGCGGGGTTGCCGACCCCTCTCTAAAAAGCATCACAATTAATATGTCAGCAGTTATTTTGCAGTCAGAAGACAACAACATAGCAAAGTGTTCATATTTTCTGCATATCCATTCGCTTTTCCGCATAGATCGAGTGAAAACAATGAGAGCTACCACCACGACAACAGCAGGAGTCCTGGAACGATTCCTTCTTCCCTTTGCTACATGAAACAGAGAAACATCCCACCACCACCGCCGCTCACCTGTCCTAAACAACAGACATGGACAGTTTAGAAGCGGTAAGTTTGCTCGGCTGATGTAAATGTGGCAGAAGGGCACAAACGCTGTAGCGGTGTTTTCAAGACCAAGTTATCGCTCGAGGGTTTTTCAGATCTAGCGTTTAGAAACTTCACCAAAGTACTCTGTCCCCCCGTCATTCATATGTCCCTGCAGGTTACCAATCAGGCCTCCCCACCACCTTGATCCCCTACTCACGAGAACGCACCATCAGTACTGATGAGGAACAGAAATGAATGTTGTGGTGGTATGAATCACTCAAGCGCCATCTACGCTCCCTACACCCAGCATCAGACCCAACTGCAGGCCAGGGTGGCCAACTACTACTGGAGGCAGGCGAGAGAGTTTACAAGATTAATTATTTCAGATCTTTATCTTGCATTGTACATTTGTTACATTTTATGCTGTCAAATTCATTGGCTATGAATTTGATTTAAATACTTTTTCCATTTAAGAGATTTTATTACTTATACTTCTTCTATTAAAGTTGATGCTATGATTTTCAAGAGCTCTATTCTGAAATTACAATTAATCACTTATATACAGTGTCTTTATTCCATTCCCACTCGGATCCAGTATGGCATAATTATTTAGTTTTATTTTTCTAGGGTTTCGTACGGGTGGATTTGGAAATCCTTGAAATATGTACTAGGTGTGTTTCAAGGTTTGAAAGGATGCTTGAATTGGTAAATTGCCTTTACTTCAGTTTTTAGATAAATAGATAATAAAGAGTCGGAGCGCGCTTTATTGCTTCGCTTTTACATAAAATAGCTCATGCTCCGAGCCTTCCGCCAATACTTTGTTTATTTGAAAACAGATGAAGATACATATACTGGGTCCCGGACCCTGTCCGTTGTTATCTATGGATTACTATCGCCTTTTACTTTCATACTTTCAGTGGAGGAAGGGGAGCGGTTCGCTGTGGAAGAGCAGGATGCGGGTGTGAGGTGCCTCTTCTTCCCTTTACAAGCTTCAAAAATGTTGTATTATTCATGTGATATTTGGCAATAACAGTTCCATAATTCTGAAAGGCGCATAACATCCCGAATAAAGCTATTTTTTTTACAAATCCACGTTTTATTTGTTAAATGAGCCTTTGCGACTTTTGACTGATTCCGATAAAGCGTCACAAATAATTAACTTTTTAGAAGGAAATAAATAATATACAGATTTCGGAATTCTGAGGCTCTGAGCCCCATTTTTATTTTTCCTCCACTGACGGTAAAAAAACGGCCCAACATTATACGATTTTAAAAAATAACAATAATCCGTGGCTTTGATATTGAGTAAGAACATGTTTTTATGAACCACACAGCTTCCGGTTCTCTTCCAGGACCGAAACATACTACCAAATAGAAATACATTGCTTTTTAAAATGTTCCTGCGACACGAAAAAACGGGGAAATCGTGTTGGTGACACGGAATCAATAGATCATACATTTATTTCGTGAAAATAGTTAAAGTAGCGACAGTAAATAGTAGTCATTGTGCGATTGGTCCATTTCAGAATAATTTACAGTTGCAAAGAAAAAGGTATGTGAAGACCCTTCGGAGCTACCTGGATTTCTGCTTAAATTGGGTCATAAAACAACTCAACTTTGGTTGTCCATTCTGTCCCACAGAATATTTTTGTCAAGTAAGTTGCTGTGGACACATCCAGGGTGGCTCTTTCACAAACTTCAAACGTGCAGCAAATGTTTTTTCTGGACAGGCAGTGGCTTCTCCGTGGTGTGCCTTCCCATGAACTCACTTCTTGTTCAGTGTTTTAGTATCGTATGATTCGTTCAACGATGAGATGTATAGCAGTGCCACTGAGATGGTTCTTTAAATCTCTATCTGACACTCTAGTGGATTCTTCTGCGTCACCTCATTGAGTCATTTCTGGCGCTGTGCTCTTGCAGTTCAGTATCTTATGATCAGGACGGCCAGCTCCTAGGTATGAGTGCGAACAGTGCTGAACTTTCTCCTTTTATAGATCAATTTGTCTTACCGTGAACTTCAGGCTTTTAGAGATACTGTTGTAATCCTCTTTCAAGTTTATGCAAGTCAACAACTTCTTATATCGGTAGGGTCTTACTGAGTAGCTCTCTTTGGTGGCGAGGCATGGTCACATCTGCCATTGCTTCTTAAGAATAGCAAATTCAAAATGGTGTGCATTTTTTAACAGGGCAGCTTTAACCCAACACACCTCCAATCTCGGTTCTCATCTGATTGGACTTCCAGGTTGACTGACTCCTGACCTCCAATTATCTCTTGAAGAAGTCTTTACGCCTAAGGGTTCACATACTTTTTCCACCCTGGCACTGTGAATGTTTACATGGTGTGTTCCAATAAAAAACATGAAAACATATTGTTTGTGTGGTATTAGTCTTAAGTAGACTGTTGTTTGCTATTGTTTTTGACTTAGATGCAAGATCAGAACACATTTTATGACCAACATATGCCAGAAATTCCAGGTAATTCTAAAGGGTTCACATACTTTTTCTTGCAACTGTAGATATGTTTTATAATGATTGATCATTAAAGTGTTCTCAAGGCTGCCTTGGCAGTCTCAGCAGCTAGTTTGAATGACTTTGTATACTGCAGGGTAGCTTGTGAATTTACTCCAGGTGGAACTAAAGTCTGATTTAACATCATTCATCCACATCTGTAAAGTAACTAAAGGTATTAAATACATGTAGTGGAGTAAAAGTACACCATTTACCTCACGTTTACTGGCAACCTAAAAGTACCTCAAATAGTAATGTATTGAAAAGTTATTTGGCTGATTGTTGTATATTGGCTCAGCCAGGTTATATGGGATGCCCAGTGTCCCGGTGGGTCACTCATTTTGAAATATTAAACTTAGTTTTTTTTTCATGTAGAATGCAATTATGAAACACATTTGGTTGTTTATAGCATAAAGAACATCTGATTTGTGAGGTAGGGAAATAATCATGAGTATCTGGATAGAACAGCTGTAAGATGCACAAATTTGACTTTGGAAAAGGTGTAAGAACCCTGTATTTTAGGCCTTAAACACTTTGATCTGGAAATAAGTGATTATATGCAATCACAGGAAACTGCTTTGGATCAGTTGGACCAATCCACTAACAAATAATCCTGCCAGGTTTAAAAAGGTATTCACTTTAGTACAACATCTTTGGATCTTAGACTTAATTATACCATGCTTTGTTTACTGATGTTTCTACTTTATTTTTTTTAATGCATCTCTGATGGTGCTTTTCCATGATCCTTTGGAGACACACCATCAACATTGTTTGAGTGTTGGTTGCATAAGCGTGTCAGTAGCAGAGGACAGCTAGAATACTCCACAACTCAAACATCTAGTTATCTGACACAGATGCCCGTCAGATGACATCCAGGTATAATGTTTCATAAATGTAATTACAATAACAATGTTTCTTGGTCTGAAGTGAATTGCTTGCTTTTATTGTCTGAATTAATACAAAGGGAAACTATCAATGGCGGCAAGAACAGTAAAAATGATGTTGCCAGCTTTTCCCACTAAGTTAGTGAAACATGCATAAAAACATGACACCTTCATTGTGTGACATTCAGAAGTCGAATCCATTCAAAACATAAACATCAGTTTTACGTCACTTTAAAGTAATTGCTGTGCCTCAATTTCATTAGTGCTAAAGTCTTAACATCGGAAATAATTTCATGAGAATCAAGACAAAAAAAAAGTGGATAAATAGGTGAATGTTGAAGTAAAGTGAAAGTTGGAATGAGGAAAAAGAAGAAGAGCACTTTTTCGATGTGCTGTGGGCCAGTGGGCCGTTGTGTTAGGCCATGAGGAGGCGGTGCACTTTGTGCAGCTGCTGCTGGGACAGGACGAGGCGGTGCACTTGTTCCTGTCCGCGGGTGCATGGGATGGCAACACGCCCTACAAACACTGTTCCCCCCTGCTTCTCTTCCTTGGCCTAGGAAAAAACACACATGTAGGTGAGTAAATGTGACATGTGTAACTGCTATTTCTTGAAATATTAAAAGCTCCTGACTAGGACAACAATCACTGATTGTGATTGTGTGTAATGCAAGGTTTACCTTCACAAAGGAGGAGACGGGGAAGGTGGCAAAGTCGGAGGAAGCCTTAGCTCCAGGGTTATGAGAGATGACATGTTCAGCTACTTCTCCCTGAAAAAGAAATGTGTCAATGTTTATTAACGCCTGTCAGCTTAATGACATTGTGGGGAGATTAGTTGATGCTGATTTTGTCACCTTGAGTTTGTCCAGAGCGTTACTGAGGTTCTGCAGTCGAGCCGTCTGCTCCATCATCTGGGCGCCGGCACTCACTGGAAGGGAAAGAAGGAACATGAACCAGACGCTCCGCACAGGAGAGGAAAGTATAGAGACTGAAACACACCTGCTGTCTTCCCGGTGATGTCCACCACCTTCACCTCTGAACTCAGCTTCAGAAGGGTTGCCAGCAGTTGGTCGGTCCTGCGGTAGATGCCTGTGTTCAGTCCCTCTGGTGGCATGGAGCTATCTTTGGAAGCTTGTGGTAGTTTGGCAGGGCAGAGGGGAGGCAGGGAGGCCAGCTGGGCTCTCATCTTCTCCGCCTGTGAGAAATAAATACTCTTAGTCAATGTTACAGTTGGCATAATACAACTAAATAATACTAACTTCAACACAAGTTACCTTGAGTCTGTTGTTTTCATTCTTGAGGTGCTTGATTCCCAACCTCTGAGCTTCCACCTGCTGCCGGAGCAGAGGAGAGTCCACCACCTGCACCGATCCTGCCATGGATGGAGGCAGACCTGATGGAGAGAGAGAGAGATTGGAGACACATTTAATCCCTACAAATATGTTGTTTTTATTGGATTATTTGGATTGTACACTTATAGGTTAGCTTTTTGCTCATTAAAATGAATGGGTGCTTTTTGTTATTTATTCTTCAGTTAGATTTTCCTCTTATATATAATTATCTTATCTGTTTTTCTTCTCTTTTTAATTTAGTTTATTCTCCTTAAATTGAGTGGAGGCCCTTTCTTTTCTTTCCGTTACCTGGATTGTATGCATTCTTATGTGTAAAGACTATTTTTGGGATGAGTGTCTGGAAGGAAATACACATTTACTGGTACTCTGAGTGCAAAACATCTCATCCGCTGGTTGAAAAAGCTTTTTAAAAAGGTTCAATTAAAGGACATCCCAACACTATCAAAAACAAGACATTTCGGTCTTGAAATGTACCTCCTGCAGATCCCTGAACAATGTTGGCAATTCCAGAGGCAGCTGGGGCTCTCAGGCCTTCGATGGTCATCTTCGATTGGCTGGTAATACGTTGCTTCAGCTCCGCCTTCTCCGCCTCCAGCTGGTCGATGTCAGCCTGCAGGGCATCCATGGTTTCCTCAAACTCCCTGAAGAGAAGGATACATGATGGTGAGCATGCAGGAAAGCAAGAAGCGCAACTAAGCTGAAAATATCTTCTGTCTTTATCGTTCATACTTTTCTTTCTTCTTCAGCAGGGCAAGGTTCTCGTCCAGTTTGGTCTGAATCTTCTCCACCCGTTCATCTGCGTCTTTAGTGGAGGTATCCAGCTTCTTCTCCAGCAGGCTCAGACGGACACTTGCCTCACTCAGCTCCTCACCCTGGGGGAGAGAGAGGGACAGACACATCAGTCTGATAGTCTTTTTCATACCGCAGACATACCTGTATGAAGTCACTTCGCAGGGAAATGTTTAGTGTTTTTTTTAGGTGGTGTTACCTTGATCTTGAGGGACTTCTTGACTTCCTTGATGACCATCTCTCTGTCTTCTAGTTTCACTCCTAGACCTTCAGCATCAGTCATCTCAGCCCTGACAGTGGCTGCTCTTGCTTCCACTGGAAGAGTCTGAGGACAAGATCAAACAGTAAGAACTGGGACAGGGAAGGCCTGATGATGTGATTCATCAAAGAGCAAAAGTGACAGATACCTGGCCCTGTGGTTTGTCAGCATCGTACTCTCCCTCCTGCATGGCCGTAGCCATCTTGTTCATGGAGGTGATGACGGCGCTGCAGGACTGACGCAGACACTCTGTGCCGTTCAGGCCATGAGAGCCATACACCTGGGGGAAAAAAAGGTGAGATTTAAATAAAACAATAACACAGCTTAAACCTACCACCTATGTCTATTTGTCCCAAAACGACAACACTCAGTACACAGGGCATAGTGTTTTTAAACAAATGCCAAGAAACTCAATCTGTCAGCAACAAATGGCCCATTGTTGGTACATGATTATAGTTGAGCTACCTGCTCCACAGCCTTGCAGGCGATATCCTCCAGTTTGAGAGCGTTGAGCCCCTCCTGTTCTGCCACCTGAGCCACCATCTGAGCTCCAGCTGCAGCCACCTCCTGCAGCACAGCCACCACACGGGTGTGCTGGCGCCTGCACTCCGTCAGCAACTCAGATACCTCCGAGAGGAGACAAGACATGTCAGTCAAATATATACTGTGGATCGATCCTTTTGGTGTCAGCTTTAGAGCTCCAATGATCATTACATCCTAAAAAGGAACCTTTCTTGCTCTTCTTAAACCCACATTGAGCTTTACTTTCATACAGCCATTTGTGTGTTTTAACTTCTTGTCTTTCTGTATCCCATACCTGTGGTCCAAAATTGAGAGCAACAGGTACTCCAACAACATCTGTCCCGGGCATGCGACGGCGGATCTTCTTGCAGAACTGTTTGATATCAGAGCAGGAAGTGTCCAGGTCCTTCAGAAGGACAGCAAAGTTGGAGCCCTCCTGACCTGCAGTCAGGAACGCCCGCAGACGAGCCACCTCCACCCCCATGCAGTCCAGGACACTCTGAGTAAACTGGAGGTGAGAGGAAGCGATTAGGGACGTATCCAAACATTAATTCCATTAGACATGGCTAATAGATGTTCTTAGAGGGAAAAGTTCTCTGTACTGGGAGTCAAAACGTGTCAATCTTTATAACTTAAAGGAAACACGCTGCTGATGAAACTTGAAGTACCTTAATGTGGTCAGCCAGCTGCACTGTGCAGTCTTCAGTGTGATCTGCCAGATGGACGCTGTACAGTTGCTGGAAGATAAAACAACAGTGAGACATTTTATGCATAAGAAAATCAATTGCACTGTTTGCCTTGAGTTTGATTGAGCCTGTTAGAAGACAGACAAAGTAAGTTGTTAATTATATAACCACATTCCTTACCTGGTAGTACTTGATGGCCTTGGTGAGAGGTTCCACCTGAACGGTCTCATCCAGCTGATCTTTATGCAGCAGGTCGATGAAATAGTCCAGAGAGCGCTCATGGAAGCTCATTTCAGAGTAGAGTGTACCCATGCGCTTAAAGACCTCCACGCTGCAGGTATTCAGAGCCCTACAAATCAGAGAAAAGAGCAGAACACCCAGATTGTGTTACCAACTTATCACTGCAACATATTAAGAAGTTATTATATATGTGTTGCTGAGCTTACTGTTCATATTTATGCAGAGTGGCCTGCAGCAGGCTGAGGGAGTAGACCAGTCCTGAGGCAAAGCTGCGCTGATCTCCTGGAGGCCCCCGGAGCCCCTGGGGCAAGTTCCCGTTCAGGTCAAACTTCTCCTGGGCCTGTTTACTGATCAGCTCAGCCTGTCAGGTAAAACACATACAGAAGCATTCATTATAGAAACTAACTAGGCACATCAAATCCACCAGAGTAGTTTTTTTCAATCATCATCCACAATAAAATCGTACATCTCCCATTCCCAACAGACATAGCTTCATACCTTGCAGATGAGCCGGGGGATGAGCAGAAGGACCAGAATACAGTCGTGATCTCCCCCATGACGGAGGAAGGAGTCTGGCATGAAGGAGGTGAGGAGGGACACCTGTCTGTTCGACTGAGCCACCTCCATTTTCCTCAGCTCCATCTCAATGGCCTAGGAACACAGATCAATAGGCAGATGTTGTCAAATGTGTTGAACTGGTCAACTCAACCTTCCTAGCAGCAGGATAAAACTTGACGCTTTCCTACCTTAGCATAGGCCTTGGTCTCTGCAAACTTAATCTTGAAGTCAAACAGTTCAGCAGGCGGTTGTTGAACTTGTTCAGCATTTGCATTCTGCTGGCTGATCAGCTCCCTGTTGGCATCCTGGAGGGGAACAAAGGGAAATACAGTGTCAGGGCATTCCTCATTCAACTAACTGATTATTTCCTTGAGTGTTCATGTTCCCCCTCCTCTCCACCCACCTGTAGGCTGGTGGTCAGATCTCGGTATTTGTTGATGGTCTGCTGGTAATCAGCTACAGTCTCCTGGGCAGCCTCCACCTTTTTTTCAGCCTCTCTGACCTTTGCTCCGCTCAGATCCACATGCTCCCTCAGCTCCATTTCCGTCTCCCGGCCGTTCTCCTGGAGCTCATCGTTCATCTCGTTGATGGCCTCCTATAGTCACGGGGAAAAGTAAAAGGTCAGCAACGTGTTGATTTAAAAAAAAAAAAAAAAGGAGATGTTGTTGTACTATTTTGTGGCTACTCATGCCATTATGTTGGTAATTAAGTGAAATATTTTCTACACAAATTTAACATTTAAATCCAATTGTGAATACTTCCATAGTGTAACGACGAGACGCCGCTACTAGAGCTCACGTGGACATCTGGATATAATCATTGTACTGTGTGGGGTATATTGACGACAACTTCCCTGTTCCCCATGTATGTTGTTGCTGATTGTGTGCACCTGGGGCCCTGGGTTGTCTCCTCCCCTCTCACCTGTTTCTTGTTAGTGTCTGTGTATTTAAGTGTTGTTTCTTGTAGAGTGGAAGGGTGTGTGAGATCCTGGTGGCTGCAGGCTGGGCTCACGTGAGCAGCAGGATTGAGGCTGTGTGTCATATGTTCATAAATGCCCACACCGGGTTATATTTTTGGACGTTCTGCCCCTGCCTCCTTGCTTGGTCGGGCCGCTCAACGGTCAGTCTCACACATAGTATGAACATTTTGTATTTGTAAAAAACTAAAGTAAATAGGTTTTAATACTTAAGATAAGAATCATGGTGCCGGTGTACACACCAAATCAGTGACGGTTTCTCTCAGCTCTCTGACTTTCTCCTCCAGGTCGAGGTTCCTCTCCGTCAGGGTCTCCACCATCTCCTCTGACCCCAGAGCAGCATCCACCTGGTACATGCAAACACAAGCATACGAGTAGTTACATTTACAGAAAAGTCTGTTATTTTTGTAATATAAATGTGTCTCAGCCTTAATCTTATTTATAAATAACTATTAAATCCCTCTACTTTAACCTGAAGAAAGCCGCTTCAAAAACATATTCCTCCATTTTCTTGCTTCTCGCCGTCTTTACCTGCTCCTTCAGTTCGTCGACTGTAGCCTCCGCCTGCTTCACATCTTCCTGCAGCTTTTCCTTCTGAGTCCTAAGAGTCTCCAGCTCAGTGTTCTTCTTCTCCATCTGCTTCTGCAGCTTCAGATGCTCCTGCTTCTCTGAAGTAGACAGGTCCCGCATCCTGAGGAGAAAGGGACATTTGAATGTTTTTATTGCAGATCTTATAACCTTATATGTTTTAGGAACTTCCATTAACAACTGCTTTGTTTATATTTTCACTTTGATCAAAGCTGCTTTTTTGACATTTCACTGACCGAACCAATGCCTCCTTCAGTCTGCTATTCTGCTCCTCCAGCTGTTTGACATGGTAACTCGAGGCAGCTCCATCTGACCCTGCAGGAGGAAAAGACAAAGCGCCACAGTTAATAGAAGGAAGGAGAGACACAGATATGAAATAAAGAGGCCTTTGTAGACTAGTGAGTCCAAACCTTTCTCTGAAATCTCATGTCTAAGGATCTCCAGGTCCATGGAGAGCTCCTCCACCTTTTCCTTCAGCGTGTCCACCTCCACTTGCAGCGACTCTGACCGCTCTTCAGCCATCTCTTTGTCCAGTGTTGCCATCTCTATGGCGTCAGCCGTGTCTGACATCTCCTCCATGTAGTGGTCCTTTGACTCCTGTGCCTCCCGGGCATCCTGAGGGACAACATGAGAGAGAACACTCAAGAACAGGGGTACTCAAACTTTTTTGTTAAAGGTCCACTTGTGAATCTTATATAAGGTCAACGGTTTGGATCAATGCCAGTAAAGTCCCCCCCCCCC